CTGGGAAAAGAAAACCCAACAAGAATACGACGATAACGGTAATAGTGAACACGGACTATTGGCATAGTTCGCAAGTGGCGCTTGAAATTATTCCTATACGGCGAAACCTGGCACTTATCCAAGTAGGCACGCTTGGATATAGCTTTCTGAATGGTCATCGTAACAAAATCGATCGTAGTTAGATATGACGAGTCAAGAATTCTTGACGAAACACTATTTCCATAACAGAAAGCGACAATTGCACGAGTTATTTCCCCGACCGTATTATCGTTTATCAATAATGTCGGCGCACTTTTGCGGTGCAGCATGGTTATTTTCAAAATTTTGCATGACTATATAAGTCAATTGATTTCGTGCGGATTTATTCCGTTCGTATATGCAGCACGCCTATATGCTGCGAAACCTACATCAATCGGATGAATTGATAGCATCAAGTTTGTTGGTGCGCATGATTCGTTCCGCGGCATTAAATGCAACAACCCGCATCACAGCCCGTCAAAAATTACCAACCATCGCTGAACGATTGCGAAAGTTCGCGTAAAATTTATTTTCCATCGGTGGTGATTTGTTTTCGCACGTGCACGCTGTGTAGTAAATTTGACAAAAATTATGCTTTTTTTTTAAATTGTAACACACAATAATACATGCAATACAAAAAATAATTAAATAATAATTTATTTTATTTTATTGTTAATTATTTGACAGAATTGCGTAGTATAGATTAATAAAAATTTAACGAAAGATAACATGTATATTATAACTTATATATGTAACTTACATAACTATAGTATTGTTTCAGATATTGTAATATTAATGCATTTATATTTTATAGATGAACTTTGTGCGCGTAATCGGTACTACGAACTATATAGTTCCGTCGTAATATACTGACAAAATGCGTGTCGGGAGTGCCGTTTAAAGTGTCGCGCGATTTTCGCATTCGGATACGCGTGTGAGTGTCTCGAAGGACCACTGAGGGGAGGAGGAGGAGGAGGCCTAGAAGGCATCGTGTGACAGCAGAGCAACGATGCGGTAAGTAATTTATCATAAAAAATACATTTTTTAATGATATGTGAAGAGGCTACGTTTATACATGTATGCTACAAGAGAGATATTGCATATTTTAACAGAAATGTTTACCGAATCTGTTTGTCTTCAATATTTGTCTATTCTCTGATAGAGTTAATGCTTGGCTTAAATGCTTAACTTTTTATTTCACGACGACACTCATTTAGCATGTATGCTTCATAGCTTTGTAGCGGCATATTACTGTATCGTTTATCGGGTTTCGCGCGTTTGCCAATTCAATAACGTGCTCCTCGACTATGCCACATTAGACTACGGTGGTCTAATGTAATATCAATCGTCTTTCTGGCGATGGCGCGCACACGGGGTTAACGCGGGTAAGCCCTGACCGTTGGGAGCCATTTGCTAATAGATGCCGCGACATGCCTCCATTAGACCGCAGGGACATTCTGGCAAGCAATATCCCATCGGAGATTCAGACTCGAATTACTGCTTACGAGATCCTGGTAATTATACGTGGGATCTTAACCGCATCTTATATAACGCTTGTCATCGCGTTTTTGTTTGCGCAGTTGCATATCGGTCGCGTATCGACGATATCTCGTCGAAATAATCTTCGAAACTGCAAACACGAATTTTCCCGAAAATGATATAAATCTAAAAGCCACAGACAGATAATTAAAAAAAAGATAGTGCAATAAAAAAGAAGTAAAATATTTTATATCTTCCTTAAGTTCGCTTTCATACAGCAGTATAGACTCGCACGTATGTATTATATCTATGATACACCTATGTGAGAACGTATGCTTATAGACGTTGCCAAATGCCCACGAGCGAGCGAGCGTCAGGGGCTTAATTCGCGTCGCTAATTTTCGCGGAACCTACGCGTAATGCGATTGCACTCGAGCGGACAGGAGCAATGCGGCCTTCGGAGACGGAAATTCCAGAGGTAACCGTCCACGAAGATGTGGTGGGAGCCCTCTCCTCGCCTCTCGCGCTCTCGTCGGCTTTCCCCTCCGACTATCCTTCGACGCCCTTTCATCCACGTTCTCACTGTCTCTCGCGATATCGGCGTACTAATTGGCAGCCAGCTTCCCCCAAACCCGACGTGACCGCCGCCGCATCGACGTCGCGTCGACACGAAATGAGATACGGCGAAATTTCGTTTAAAACTTAGCCGACGAGCGTAAGCCACTCATCGACCACGGCCGCCAGCTCAAAGCCGCAAAGCTACTTTCTCGCGTCTCCCGCTGGTCGTGGTTCGAGCTTCGAAGCTGCATTACACGGTGAGGTGGTGCGTAGCACTAAGACAGCGCGCGCGTCGCGCCAACGGGAGGCCTAAATACTGTTGACGTTTCGAAACAATATAGTCGCCGGGGTCACGCTAACTTCGACGGTGGCCTACGCTCTAACTAGCTGAGCCCAGGCGCCAACTGCTAACTCCGTTAGCCCCGGGCTTCGAGTCTTTCTCTTTCCCACCCGCGCTCACGGTACGCCATCGTCACTGCCGTTGCTGTTACCAACACTAGTGGTGTTGCCGTTGCTACATTACCACATCGCACAACAATAAACCTAACTGCCAAAATGGAAAGTCCCTCGGCTATTTAATGAGCCGGCGCGTAATGCAGTTTGTCGATTACGGCATTGTTCGCCGGACGATAACGCGCGGCTCGGAAACGTTTGCCTTTGCCAAGATCCTTCGCCTTTGGCCGTTTCGCGAAGCCTCAAAGCCGCATGTCGGTGGCAAGTGCGAGACGAAGGATGTACGTAATGAGATCATTTGTAGTTGGAATCGCGGTTACGTACGCGTAAATGTTGCTTCGGGATAAGATTAACAGGGTAGAGATAGCGTGTTTTCTTGCGCTATTCCAAGTTATTGTTGAATTAGTTGTTAACGAAAATTGACTATACTTAACTAGTAGCTACATCTTGCTCAGAGTTTACGCACAATCGAGATTGAATGCAATCCTTTGCTCGAATAATAGCGTTTGTCAATGTAAGAGAGTCGTGACAAAGAAGATGAAAAGTAAACTCGCAGAATATTTGGACATCAAATTTCACACGCGATTTCCTTTTTCCGTTCGCGTTTCTAGGTGACTATTAATATTAAGCTTTTAACGAGGACCACGTTTACGCGAAACCCGATTTAACTCCGGCCAGGGGCTCGATACCAGCCGGTAACTCGGTTAGTCCGGTAATCGCATTTGAGGCATGGATCGTTAACTTATCGCACCGCGGCAAATTTTACGTCGTGATTTAAAGGGTCGATCCGCTCAAGGCGATCGACAAGGATTTATCCCGATCCGTTACGTTGAATGGATTTGCTTTGTCGGAATCCTTGCGGCGCGATGTCAATTTTTCCTTTACACTTTTCGTAATTCGAGAATCGCAATAATTGTCTCGAGCAGTGAATGGCATGCGATGAGATGCGATAACATGCATGTGAAATAATAATCGCGCGGTATTTGTGAAAGAAGTTCAGCGTGTTCCCTCACCATTGGTAAGATGCATGCGAGCGTGTTCATCGGGGAAGACAGTTTCGGAACGATCGCTCGCGGTGGAGCTACTGCTCAAGGCGCTCGCGTGACCTCGACGTGTTCTTCGACCTAAAGTTCCGCCGCCGGAAGTCGCCTTTTTCGTGGACGCCGCGTAAACGGTCTCACCTGCAATAAAGAAGATAGGAATATCTTTGAATAGCCGGGAAAGCAGTTCTTTCCTTCAGAAAGCGCCTGTTTTGCTAACGAGCGCGAGTCGTGCCGCTTAATTCAATCTTCCATTAGCGCGTGGACAAAGAAAATTCTTGAGTCCTTTAATCCTTTCGGAATTGTTTTCAAAGAAGCGAAATTATTTGTGAGATCAAAACTTTTTTTTGTTTTATGTAAGTGTACTTTTTGATTTCAATAAGTGACTTTTATACAGCGTGTTCCTAATTTTATTTTCGGCACAGCATTTTACGTAAAATATACATATAGCAATTTTTCTTCAACCACCGGAAGTGCATCGTATCTAAGATAGATTAAACATGAAATATTTTATCAGAATGGATTGAAACGGCAGTCATCGTACGTGTAATATCGTATTGTTCATCATTTTAAATCGCTCGTATGCCGTAGTTTTTCAATGAGCTCGTCTTGTACGCGTTACAGTTGTACAACATAGTACAAAATTGCGTTTGATGAGATTCATCTTGCCGCGAGCCCGTAAGTATCATCTTGCGTGCAAGCGAACCAGCGTTCGCGGCTCTAATTAACTCCCTACCATTGCCGTTGCGAGATCTCTCGGAAGATATGCTGCCGTTATAATGATGCCGGCGAGAGTTTGTGCTTTCGAGGGGAAACGGAGAGGCTTGCCGATGATTCGGTGTCAAGGTTGGGGGCGGCGTAGGAAATGGCGTGGTCGGGTTGTCCGTGGTTGCTGCGCCTTCCGTGTCGGATCCCGTACGGTACGATCTGTCTCCCGCATCTGCACAAATTAATCACACGTTAATGGCGCTCATTTTTATCAGCTTGACATTTTCAGCAAGAGATATTCTCCTATTATTTAAGTAAATCTAACAAAATTATTCACCGGCGCATCAAAGCGTTATCAACAGTTTTATTGCAAATTAAGATCGACGAATTAAAGTTTTATCGCGTCTGGGAGTGCTTCGTGCATGAGCGAGTGCTTTAATGTTTTAAAGTCCGCGTTAAACTCGTGTTAAACCTGTGATCTTGCCGCTTGCGGACAACCGCAGACGTACCGCAGCACACATGATCCCGCATATGAGCGCGCGCCTCGCATCTTCGTCTCGGCAGCAGCGGGACTTTCTATGGCTCAACCATCATTTCGTTTTACGGATCCCCGCTGTGATGCAACCCACTACCATGCCTCGCCTTTATCGCCAGTCGACATTTCCGCCAGATCCGAGCACTTCGTCGCGCGTCGTTGCTCTGATCTGCATTTGCTTAAGTTGACGCATGTCTAAACTCTTAAAGGCGCTTGTCACCAAAGCAGTGTTACTCTGAGGGAGCTTGCATTACCCGGCGCGCGATAGCGGAACACAAGAAGTGTGGGTAGAGGAGACTTTCTACCGTAAGAAATGCGCCGGTATGCCGGTGTGCTCGCGCACGATATGCGACCACGTGCGCGCAGGTACGGCTATATTTTTAACCACGTTGACACCGTACAAGGTGTACCGAGAGTTATTTCTTTGACGAAGAGACATACTCGGAGATACGCAAGGGTGACGCTGAAAGGGTAAAGTAGCGGGGCAATGCAGTTAGCCGCGCTGAGGTAGGAATTTTTCTGTAACATTCTCGCACTTCCAGTCATCTTCCCATCAATGACGGAGCGCTATGCGAAATTACTTTCGCTTGGAATTCAAAATCTTTAGCATTATATGGCATTTATTGCAAACACGCATTCTTTAATTAGAAACACGATTTGGCGATATTGTGTTCGTTAACCGGCAGATAATTGCCGGGTGCAGAAACGCACGTTCTAATTTACTATTAAGCTTTCGTTGTGGCAGACAAAGGGGCATCATAGTGAGAAAAGGTTAGGATGGGAGTTTAGTATGGAAGGAAGGACGAGATCGAATCTTGTCGGTAATTAATGAGGAAAGTTTTACAAATAGCCGAAGGCATAGTCACTAAACGCCTTAGCGAGCTCGTGAATCCCATTCACAAGCAGGGTATCTCTACGCAAAACTAAGTTTTTAATTGATAATTATCCTTTCTCGTGCGAGAAGAAAGGATAAGACTATTAACTGTTTCGCAATACGTTATATCGCTCCGTTGATTAGGCTAAGAAGAGTTTCGTCAAGATACATGCGATATTTTATACGACGGAAGCTTTACAGTAACATAAAAATAATTCTGTTTGTATGATAAATTAGCTGTATGTATTTAAGCACCGTGACATTCTGCGATTCGTAAATTGAGCGTAAATAAGGAGATCAGATATGTCATCGACCATTTCATAGTTTTGTTCCTCTTTTGTTTTTTTCATTTCCCGTGCGCTGAAAACCGATATTCGGGCTTAGAGAAGAGTCAACAAGGTGTTAATTACGTTCTCGCGCTGCGCGTTGCGCTTTAAACGTTGTTTGCATCGAAATGGACGCGCTTGTCGGAAGCGACGCGCGGCTGCGAATTGACAAATCAGTTTTTCAGATCGGACGGCAGCCTACGCGCGAGAGCGCGGAATAGGCGATCTGCGGGTTACATCAAAGATTCCAAGTGCTTTCCGCTGCTTCCTGTTCGAAGCCGCCGCCGTTGTGAGCGCGCACTCACGATATAAAGAGAGATACGGGCAAGATGGGCATCCTGATAGTCGAGACGTCTGAGAGTGAGTAGCCGAGGGCCGGGGCAGTGGCGCTGATATTGCTCGCATTAAACTTTCATATTCAATCTTGCCACCCACCGTTGGGGCCCCTTCCCCGTAGTCCCCGGCCCTCATTCCACCGTTTCGCCGTACGGAGAGCGAGCACAGCCCGGCATCAACCCCACATGTAATTGTGTTATGTCCTCTTCTCTCTCTCTCTCTCTCTCTCTCCCTCGCCCTCTTCTTCACTCTTCACTAACCCCTGTCTCTTCCTTCTCCGACCTTTCCTCTTCTCTTCTCCCCATTTCCCTTCGGCGCGACCTCGGTTATCCTCCTGCTCGCGCGGTTCCGCTACGCCCTCGCGACGCCTCCTCCTTTCTATATTGGATTTTCTAATTCGAAAACGTCGTCGTGACGTTTAAGAGGATACGTCGTTTCTTTATCGGCTGCTTGCCACTTCGCTTTCGGATCGGCGCGACAAATGACTGTGATTACGAGAGACTATTTCGCGTCGTGCTTCGCAATAGATATTGACAGGCGGCGCATCGACACGTTTCGCGCCATGTATCTATTGTATAACAAAAACCGATGGCTAACTAGTTTCTCTGTTTCGTTTAAAATTGAAAAATATGAGTTCTATAAAAGTAATGTTTAAGACAAAACACGAGCATAAGATATTTCAAGCTTCGTCCAAATGCTATTAATTTTTTTATTAAACTTTACTAAATTCTAGAGCTGTACTTTAAATGAAACTGAAAATAAAATTCTAGCATTGCGTTCTAGAGAGAATCGATAATAGAGACAACAATATTATTAGTAGCTAATAATATTACAGCGCGTGGCATTATCTAAATAGTAATTTTCGTGAATTCGTCGATAGGCTCGCACAACAATGTTCGCGCTTTCATCGACCGTATCGATCGTGAGAGCGTTAACCACGTAACAACATCTCGCCGGTACGTCGACGTAGCAAAACGAACAGTCGGCGCTTATCTTTAATCGACCGTTAATCATCGGCGCCGATCGCGTGCTCACCGGTGTCCCCTTTCGACACTCCCGGCAGCCGTGCGAGTGCACGAGCTAGCCGGACGATTTATCTCGCAAAGCACACGGGGCCGCCGGCCCCTCAGACCCTCGCCACGCTCGGAATTTACAGTCCTGTCTCGTCCTGTCTGGTGGCATTTCTTCACCCCGGCAACGGTTCCTTCCGTGGCGACTAAACGCACGGCGGGTGGGCCCCGGCGCGACAAGGAGAACCGTGGCATGTCGTGTGCACACGATGCATTTTGTTTGTAGGGGATTGTTGCCATGGCAGCGAACTGCGAACATCGAATGCACTTCGCCCCAGCGCGGCACGGCGCGGCGCGGCGCGACGCGGTGCGACGCGGCAGCACCGACACGGCTCGTAGACCCGAGCGCGCTTGCGGAAGAGTTAGCCCCCGGCTGCTTTCGCAAGCTCCGCGCAACGGCCCGTGTACACCTGGACACGGTAGACGACGCAACTTTGGACGAAGGGCGGTAATTTTCTTCGAAATTTTGCTCGTGAATGACGCTGCATCGCGGTGGCTAATGCGCGCTTTTTGAAAGCGCGATTCCCTCTCTGATGATTTTGCATTGCATTAAAATGCGAGTATAGAATATCGTAACAGGGAAATATTAAATTTCACAAAACAAAATTGAACGAGATTTATATTGTCTGGATTGATATGTGGAGTAATTGGAAAAAAATAATTGTACACTCAGAATTTAATATTTATTGGTTAGCTTAAATCATATTTTTTAAGCCAATTTCGATCATTACTACATGTTTCGAATGTGGAAGTGTATAAATTGTCACACAATGTTTTGTAAATCTTGCAAGAATGCAACGAATGTTTGTGACAACTGCAAATAAGTGCATTTTTTTACAAATATTTTTATTTTTATACGAATAGATTCAGCTATTCTTCAATGTAAATGTGTATAAATGCATTTTTTTTTTATTTTTACACAAATACCGAATATTATATCAATATGCAACTGCGTTGCAATTTTGCTTTTATGTTTTAGATCAACTATTCAATGTAAAAAATATTCGCATAATATTGAACACTTTTTTTTATTTATGATTATAATTAATTCTTTTTTTATTTGCCGAATATTTACGCAGAAAAATATACTGTTACATAAGGTGTACACGTGTCAAGCGAGAAAAAAAAGGAAAGAATAAGGGATGCGAGACGCGTTTTTCGAGTAGCTGTCGCACGCACAAGGAACAATAGGATACCTACGTCGCGACTCATATCGAAAACCAATTTCCGAGACGTCAACAAAACGAAATCGGGCGCCAGGAGGGAGTTCGTCGGCGTTTTTCTGGTAACTGCTAGAGGTTGGAGATCACTTTGAGCGAGAGAGTTTGGCAAGAGATCGAGAAGTGGCTGTACTTTCAACAGGTGCAAAGTGTCTTCGTTGAAAGGGCCACTCTTCTACTGCCTTCGCCCTGCGCCTCTTCCTTCCGCTTTTTAAACTGCAAGCTCTTTGATAGAAAGCCTAAAGCGCCCGCGTACCCTCCGGGGAACGAGACGATACGCATATACAATTACGACGACTCACAATAAGTCGATGCTCCGTTTGAGAAAATAATGATGCTCGCTAATGAGCTAGAGATACTCGCCGCGCGCTTCATATTTCGACTGGAATAGTATGTTCCTTCCTCGCAGAACATTTCGAATTTTCGTCAACGCGAACAACTTTCCCCAGCAACAAGACAACGACGTCGGTATATAATCGAGCTCGTGATGAAACACGACGTGATAGAAATTGTCGTAATAATATTACTTATCTCGCGCGCGTTGAACGTCATACGCGTGCGTTTTACATCGATCGCGACGTTGTGCACGCAGCGTGACGGAGATTTAAGGAATATTTACTTGTTCTATCTCGCGAAATTAGGAAACACACGCTAGATATTTGGCTATTTAAGAATGGAAGGTATTATATTAGAAAATACTACGAGGGGTTATTGTGATTTTTACCAATATGGACGCTTGTATCCGCTTAAATGAAATTCCAAATAGTTTTATGATTCTCTATGGAATTTTAATAACATTCATCGATCGTAAAACGTGTTTTTTCTTTTTTATAAAGTTTCATATAAGTATAGTTAGTGCAGCATACAAGTT